CTACACCATATCTCGCTACGGCGTAACGACCGCCGTAGTACGTAGCGCGTAGCCTCTACTACGGCGTAGACTCGAGGGCCTTCGCTTTGAACGAACCTACTTCCGCTGCGGCGCGCTTTTAAAGCTTTGCCATTAAGCTCGACGAATTGATAAAGCACATTCAGTGTGGGAAATGGAACTTTAGTTTAATGAATTTGCTTTTAGGAAGCTTTCAATTCATGATGTTTTATTCCAGCAACAAAATCACTACATAGTATAAAACAAAGACGCTTTCCGCTGTCTGTCCCTAAGTAATTAATTTAAAATTCATTATATTTATTATTAACTTATTTTCGTTATTAATAAACATTAAATAATTATTTCTCTATTTATAATTTATGTGTTATGTATATTGTTAACTCGATTTGTATATTGTGTGCACTTGTTATTGGAGCTGCAACAAGTTACACTGTATAACCTACTTTAAACGCTTTGTATGTTATGGTTGTATCCCTGTTTTATGCACCAAATAAAATAAATAAATAAATAAATAAAAGTATGCTTTGATCTTTAAAACTACGCAATGGGTATTGATGCGGTTTTTTTAATAGATATCTTAGAGTGATTCAAGAGGAAGGTTTATATGTATACTTAGCACCCGTGATAAGCCGGGGCGGGTCACTAGTTACTGTATAAAATGTTATACATACAGTTGTAGGGTTTGCTCATTCGAACTATAAGGATACCGTCCATTCGATATGAAGCTTTGTCTAAAGAACTGCTTCGTGAATTTGACTTATCGTATAATTAAATTCTTGACTGTCCATCCAAATCTTTAGACTAAAAGCGTTTCGACAGCTCATCACAAAGTTGGTTGATTACCTTCGCTTCGATCTCTCTATCAGTAGCGTCTAGACCAGTCTTTCCCAAAGTGGGCGATAACGCCCCCTTGTGGGCGCTGCAGGCTTAAAGGAGGGCGGTAAGAGACCCCGGAAAAAAATTGGGGCATTGTATAGAGGCTTGGTAGGCCATTTGTAATTTCATCTACTTAGGAGGTCTCTTAGACACTGACTGAGCATTTGACTCTTGAAAATTTAATGGGGGCGCTAAAAAGAATTTATTCTCAAAGTGGACTTACTTGACTTATGGTCCTATGTCCCCTAGATGGGGCAGAGGGCGTCCACAACAGTCCTCCATCTCGTTCAGTCTTGAGCTTCTCGCTTGATCTCGCTCCAGGTCTTGCCGATCTTCTTCGCCTCGTCCGCTACAGTGCCCGCCAAGTTTGCCTGGGTCGACCACGTTTGCGTTTTCCTTGGGGATTCCAATCCAGAGCCTGCTTAGGGATGTGATCGGGGTCCCTTCGGAGAGTGTGGCCAATCCAGTTCCAATTCAATTCTCAAAGTGGGCAGTAGACAAAATAAGTTTGGGAACCGCTGGTCTAGACTATGTTTTAAGGGATGCCGATAAGGCTTCAATCCCGCGGATGCATTAAATATCTTCTCGTCTAAGCATCGCGGGCGCATCGATCCGATCGCAGACGGTAGTCGAAAATAGCATAGGTTCTGCTGTTCGGTAATCGATGGCTTTGTACTAATTTGGGCAGAGACAATTTGTAACTATGGTACTATTAATTATAGCACTGTCTGACGACTTGTTTGTTATCTTCCAACGCTTAAAATTCTGAACCAATTGTGATTTTCAGCATAAAGATTTGAACCTCGGAAAGATGAACATGTATCATTCCTTATGTCGCAAAACAAAGTTAAGTTATAATAAGGCTAAAGGGATTCCTCGTTTTGAGTAAAAAAAAAAAGAATCCATCATCTATGTTTTTGGTAAAAAAAAGTTCTATATGACGTATCTAAACAAATTATAGACAGGATTACATAACCCAAAAACTAACAGTACCTACCTGTCTAACAATTTTACATCTTTCCATCGTTCTAAGGCCCAGAACAGACGATGAAACGCAACTGCAACGAAACTGCAACTTTGTGATGATTCTGATGAATGAAACTGAAACTGAAAGTTTCAAACTGGTCGCGTCATGTGTGGTCTCTCAACGGACGCTATGGCAGAAACTTAGATGCAACTCAAAAGTAACTAGCAGTTGCAGTTTCGTTGCAGTTGCGTTTCACCGTCTGTTCTGGGCCTTAAATAACAGTTTTCAGCCAAAATCGCACCTACAGTTTTGCTATACGTATTAATGCTTTTATGGAACTAAATCCCTTTCATCTGCCGCCCGCCCACGGTTCCTCGCCCGCCCTCGCGTCCGCGTGTCTGCTGCGTCTGCCGGCGAGACGTCTGTCCGGGGTCACCGACCGCTGCTTCCGGACGCGTCCGGAACCGGGTGTTGTGTCGCGAAAACATCGCGAACTTAACACTTGCAGCAAATAGTATTCTGAGAGTAGAACTGTTTATTTACACACGTCCAAATCAAATTGAATCATGACCAGACTTTCTTTTGAAACCAGTAGCCCTACATTAGAAGGTATTGCTTTGGAAGTTGATGATCTTTTACACAAAATCATTGAATGGATTTGTATTCATCCTAATAGCAATAAAGTTATTTGGCGTCCGCCACGACCGCGACTTAAAACAACTCAAAACTTTAATAGGTACCTACTTATGTTGTTAATAGGGAATAGTTAAAAAGGCTAAAGGGGAATATGTATTGGTTCAAAAGATAAAGATATTTATTTGCAAGAATAGGTAAGTACAGGTTATTGTTGATGTTACATGTATTAAGGACTCTATTCTGTTAAAATATTTTAACATGCAAATTTACGGGTAAGGAATTCCCGAACACTGTAGAAACAAACAGTAGTCAGCCATTCCCGAAGCTTTTTCACCATCAATTTTGTAGGGCCATTTTTATATACATCAGGAATTTTGTTATACACCTCAACACACATGCAGTAACAATTTTTCTTAATAAGTGAAGTTCTTGGGCAAAAGGAAAGAGCTAGCCTATCTGAAGACCTTGTGTTTCTGGGGTACACTTCAGCCGCGGTTTGGAACAGTTCTGGATGTTGTCTTACAAACTTAAAGATTTCTAATATATACATTCCAGGTACAGTAAGTATGCCCAGTTTGATGAATAATGGCTTACACGGTTCATATGGCCCTTTACAGCATAAAGCTCGCACACATTTTTTCTGAGCTATATATATTTAGTTCATAATGAATGCTATCAATAGTATCGAAGGCAGAGAGGGACAAAACCCTTTGTAAGGTACCTAGGTTACCATACCCATACAACTATACCTCTCTCTATGCCCTCAAATATGATTTAGTATATATTTTATTTTATTTTCTTTTTTATTTGTAAAACAATACAGTGTTAAAACTATGTAGACTAACATTTTAGAAAACTTATAACCATTAATATATGACGCACATAAGAAACATTTAATTAGTTTACACACAATTTTGGTGTATAAATCCATTCATTTGTTTTGTAAATTTCAAACATAAGTTATAGATAACCAAGTTGTATTTACAAAATAGCTTCACAGATACATTTCAACCTGTCCAGTCCAGCTTATTAATTTGCCCACTCTAAAGTGCAAAGGGCTTTGTTTATTTGCCACCGCTGTTTGCCAAAGGTCACTCGTTTATTACTCGCATTCGGGAACTTCCCCCTGCAGTTCAATGACCTGATGCTCGGTCTGTCTGCAGCCAGCGTTCGTCTGGGTTTCAGGATTGATAGGGTTGGCCATGGTAAGGGTAAAGTTGGCCTATTGGTGGTATGGAATTAAAACATGATTGAATTACAAGAATTTCTAACGAAGATTAAACTATACTCTAAGGACTCCTTAGACTTGGACCTACTTCTTAATCTTTTAATTTATACTAATATTATAAATGCGAAAGTTTGGATGTCATGATGTCTGGATGTTTGTTACTCTTTCACGAAAAAACTACTCACCTAACGGATTTTGTTGAAACTTTACAGTATTACTATTTATAACCCAGATTAACATATAGGCTATAATTTATGACGATCTGTAACATACTAAATTTCACGCGAGTGAAGCCGCGGGCAAAAGCTAGTCTTTTATAATGCATTCTACCAAGCATTTGAATTCTCTACATCTTCTTTGTTCTAAAACCTTCAAGTCACTGGGATAGAGATAATCTTCTAGGCAAGCTTGCTTCCCCGGATTGATTGTTATGAATAGCAAGCCCACTATCAAAATCTACTGATTACTAAATAAACCGTTTGTAAAGGAGGTTCGATATTTGTACCTATAGGTGATAGCCCTGAGCATCTAAGTTGTAAAGTTTCGTTAAAATGGGTATTAGTTATGGGGGGAGTCTGGGAGACATTAATCTTGCGATTGTTTAAGAGGAGCTAAGACCAGCAGACTGCGCCGTCTTACTTGCATTGTGTTTATACCTAACACCTTTCGCTTTGACTGTCTGAACTGCACTTAAATTATATTGATGTTCGTAAAGACTTCAAAAAAAGTGAAATTGGAAGTTTATTTAATCAAAACAAATGAAATAGTTTACTCAGTACTTTTACAGTCCTTTCCAGGGCACTCATACACGTCCCAAATATTGCTTGCCCTACCTTATTGCAATTTGTTACCAAACCTAGTCTACGAAATATAAATAAATATCTTTTATTTTGAATGTAACTTCAGTTTCTTTTTACATTTCTTAATAAATATTACTTGATTTGTCTCTATTTTATTTTCAAGATTCTAACTTAAGTTTCAAGCTAATTAAACAAGTGGTATTATTTTATATTTCATGTTTTTCTTTACATTCCGAGAATTAATTAGTCTGTTATTTTCGCGAGCCCTTTTCCAAGGTTAAAACTATCTGCTAAAAATCGATACAAACCTGGTTTGACTGTTAAAGTTAGCTTACCAAATATACGAACAGGCAGAATTTACACTAATATTAGTTTTGCTAAAACTAAGATAATATTAGTTTTTCGAAAANTATTACCTTTACATAAGGTGCAGACTAGCGCTGACACACCACTCCACCGCCGGCACAAGGCCTAGTTGTGGCGCATCCCGCCCGGCGACGAGGTTAGCACACACTTGCATGCAAACATCGCTCTTATTACGTCCACATAAGGTGCAGACTAGCGCTGACGCACCACTTCTACGTAAGCCAACATCGCTCCTATCACAACCAAAAATAAGGCTCAGTCTAGCTTGCGAGCCTCAACCATCACACCTCCGCCACTCGCATGCAAATCTCACTCTTATTACCTCTACATAAGGTGCAGACTAGCGCTGACGCACCACTTCTACGTAAGCCAACATCGCCCCTATCACACCCGCACAAGGTCCAGTATAGCTTGCGAGCCTCAACCACCACACCTCCGCCACTCGCATGCAAACATCGCTCTTATTACGTCCACATAAGGTGCAGACTAGCGCTGACGCACCACTACACTGCTACCAGCGTGCATTAGCTCTTGCAAGCTATGATACATAAATAATCTTGGACATTTTACACAGCACCATCTAGTACCAAACAAGGAAAAGCTTGAGAAGGTACCATACAAAGTATCAAATATATTTTTTACATCTTTTTACAAAAACATACACGTTTGCCCGAGAAATGAGTCGTTCCATTTCAACATCAGGCAATCGATTTGTGCAAGTTAGAAAAAGGAATAAAATGCTTTTACACAAAAAATCAAAAATCTTTGCGGAAGTCCTTGGGGGAGGCCTTTGTCCAGCAATGGACGTCTTTCGGCTGAAACGAACGGACACAAAAAATAATTTAAATATCAATTTATGACACGCACCGCGTAAAGCTTGAGTGAAAGAGATAGCAATATCGATGGAGAGATTTGAAAAATGTGTGCTTTACAATAGTTTGAGATGATAAAACAATAAAATATAAGTTTCCCACAGGTGTACAGGAAAGACGAGCTGAGCGTGTGGCAAGTCGACGGCCGCAAGCACAAACAGTACTGCCAGCAGCTCTGCCTTCTGGCCAAGTTCTTTCTCGACCATAAGACTTTATACTATGACGTGGAGCCGTTCCTGTTCTACGTGATGACCAATGCGGATGACGAGGGATCGCACGTCGTTGGATACTTTAGCAAGGTCAGTGACTAGTGTGGCAACCCTGAAGCAATTTCTCTTTTACACAAGATCAGTGTCAACCCTGAAGTCAGTGGCGCTGCCTTCTGGCGAAGTTCTTTCTCGACCACGAGATGCTCTACTATGACGTGGAGCCTTCCTTCCTTCCTTTCAGCCAAATGACGTCCACTGCTGGACAAAGGCCTCCTCCAAGGTTTTCCACAATGCACGGTCCTGCGCTGCCCGCATCCAGGCTCTTCCCGCGACCTTTACCAGATCGTCGGTCCACCTAGTAGGAGGCCTGCCCACGCTGCGTCTTCCAGCCCGTGGTCGCCACTCGAGAACTTTCCTGCCCCAACGGCCATCGTCTCTTCGAGCTATGTGCCCCGCCCACTGCCACTTGGTTTTAGCAATTCTGCGAACTATGTCGGTCACTTTGGTTCTCCTGCGGATCTCCTCATGGACGTGGACATTAGCCATTCCTCTTTTATGACTAGTGTGGCAACCCTGATGAAATTTCTCTTTTATTCAAGATCAGTGGCAACCCTTAAGTACTCTTAGGCTATTTCTTGACCACAAGACGCTGTATTACGACGTGGAGCCATTCCTATTCTACGTGACGACATGTCGTCGGATACTTTAGTGGCAAGTGTGGCAACCTGAAGCAATTTCTCTTTTACGCAATATTAGTGGCAACCCTGAACAGTAGCTCTGCCTTCTGGCCAAGTTCTTTCTCGACCACAAAACATTATACTATGACGTGGAACCTTTCCTCTTCTACGTGATGACCAATGCTGATGACGAGGGATCGCACGTCGTTGGATACTTTAGCAAGGTCAGTGGCAACCCTGAAGTATTTCTCTTTTACACAAGATCAGTGTCAACCCTGAAGTCAGTGGCGCTGCCTTCTGGCGAAGTTCTTTCTCGACCACGAGATGCTCTACTATGACGTGGAGCCGTTCCTCTTCTACGTCATGACCAATGCGGATGACGAGGGGTCGCACGTCGTTGGATACTTTAGCAAGGTCAGTGGGAATCCTGAAGCATTTCTTTTTTACACAAGATCAGCGTCAACCCTGTAGTCAGTAGCTCTGCCTTCTGGCGAAGTTCTTTCTCGCCCACAAGATGCTGTACTATGACGTGGAGCCATTCCTTTTTATGTGATGCCAGTAACTAGTGTGGCAACCCTGAAGCAATTTCTCTTTTATTCAAGATCAGTGGCAACCCTTAAGTTCTCCTAGGCTATTTCTTGACCATAAGACGCTGTATTACGACGTGGAGCCATTCCTATTCTACGTGACGATATGTCGTCAGATACTTTAGCAAAGTTAGTGGCAGGCAAGGGCAACCCTGAAACCAGCAGCTCTACCTTCTATTTTTTATATAATTGGCCAGAAGACCAAGTTCTTTCTTGACCACAAGACGCTATGCTATGACGTGGAGCCTTCCCTCTTCTACGTGATGACCAACGCAGATGACGAGGGATCAAACATCGTCGTCATCAGCAAGGTAGTAAGGCAACCATGAGTCTTCTCATTTGTCCAGATTTATGATGAACTCAAGACGCTGTACTGACACGAAACCGTTTCCCTTCTACATAATGAAATCAACACTGACGACATACATAGAAAATTCAACGGTCTAGGTAAGCGTAATGATGAATTAATTTTAGTAAATATACATTTTAAAACAATGTTCAACGCGTGTGTAACTTTTGTGTGGTAACACCCCCCATGTTCTGTCGCTCTCACTCTTATGTATGACAGTTATAAATTCAGAGGTTCTAAATTGGCAAACCCATAAAGCAACGCACCAGATGCTACGTATCGTCACAACGCAACGCTAGGTGGCGCTACATTGGATTTCACTAGGTAAACTGCAGTTTTTCCGGTTATTCCCTAACACACATAAATCGTCACTCAAAATTGACACTTTATCTTTTAATTTGCCGTGATATACTGACGCCTCTCACGTGGCTGACTCACATGTCGACCGTCGCAGGGCGTGGAATATTTTTATTAACCGACATTTTAAGTAGGTACCTAATTGTTTTACAAACTAGTAGTCTGTGTTTGACCTGTAGTTTGCCGGACAGTTGGTGACAATGACATTAATGCTGGACCATAGATTATGAGACTACTTAGGTACCAGTCGTGTTTCTGAAATCTCATTACAGATTAAGCTAAGTAAAAAACTCCATGTACAATGTTTTCCCCCAGTCAATTAAATACAGGCCTTGTCAAAAGAATAATTAATTAATGAATCAATCTTCCCATGAAATTTTCAAATTCAAATTCTGTCCTCTTCCTGGGTTGACTTAATATTTTTTGATTCGTCAGTTTTGTTGTGCAACAATTAGTTAGTCTATCATATCAACCCATTCCATCATCATTGAATGCATTTACAACTCACACTTGCTACCTTAAAAATCAATCCTAAACCATTCATTAACCCCTATTACGGTAAAACCCCATGCCCAACCTTAAAATTTGCAAAAGCCGTCGCTTACTCGTTACGCTACAACTTACGGCGGTGTACTCCCATTCAGGGGGCGCGTCAGCTGAGGGGTCAATAACCCCGCCGACACCCAACCCCTTCCCCCCTCACCCCCCACCTCCACGACCTACGTCTGGAGTTCAATTTTTCCAAAATATTTAATGGAATTTCTGAAGACGCTCGAAATAACAGGATTAGTCCATTAGTTGGTATTGTTTCAGAGATGGCTTCAGGCTTTTAGACTTGAGCTAAGTCTTTGCATTGCACCGATAGGATCTATTGAATTTTAATGCCAGTCTTCGTATTTAGATAGGTTTGATGGTAAATAACTCAGATGTATCTACTACGCCTTTTATCTTCTATCTGCATAAAAGAATACGTACAAAAAATAATGTTAATTTGTTTATTTCTTGATCGATGAAGATTTTTTTTTATTCTGAATGGCTTTCTTCTAAAGTTCTTTAGTCCATTGAGCTTTGATTAATGACTTCCACTACATTTTACGACACGTGGTTAACACTAATATAACCAATTTATTCCATCTTTCGCCATATATTAGCTTATTTGCTTTAGTTGAATTAATTAAAACTATTACGTTTGTTTTAAGACTTATCTAATACCATGGTAAAGACACGCCTCGGCGATCTAGTAGGTACGGAGTTAGCAAACCTTTAAAAGGTACATGAACCAATTTTAAACAATATAAACTAAACTTAGTTTAGGAAGCATTATTTTTAAATTAATGTTGTTGATTAATTTGTCGGCCGTTTGGTGTAGTGGTTCGAAACAAACTACTATTCCGGAGGTAGCGGGTTCGATTCCCGCACAGTACAAACATTTGTGTGCAAAAACATATTTGTTTGTATTGGACTGGATGTTTTCTATGTATAATAAGTATGTATTTACAAAAAAAAGTATTTAAGTATGTTTATATCCGTTGTCTAGTACCCATAGTACAAGCTTTGCTTAGTTTGGGACTACAAGCGCAGTGTAAAATGTCTAAGGATATTTATTATTATTATTATAATTACCTACTCGTTAAAAATTAACCAGGGTTGATACAAATCTCAATTAAGTCATGGCTGGCTTGGAAATTGCGTTTCTTTATACGGCTCCCTTTTCAGGGCGTGTGCGAGACAACAAAGTCATAGTGCACACAGGTACAGTTAACGACAACAGTGCATGGCTTGATAAAAGCCGTGTCATAAAATTATTTTTAATTCTGCAAAAAGCACTTGTACACGTCTCAGTATTAACATTACTACTGCTTCAGGACAAAAAATAGGCCAGTGCGGAGAAGAATTAAATACTAGATCAGACAAAAGCAAAATATCACGTATCTGCCATATAAAATGTCACTGTTTAGTTACATTGTTATTAAAAAAAGAGTCAGTAACTGTATATCCAGTTCTACCTTTTATTTAAAAAATAAAACAAATAATCAATTAGTACACCCTTATATGTATCCTAACCAAAATATCCTTTTAATGACTCTTAAAGTGTCCTTTTAATGACCCATATACCTGTGTGCTCCTTGAAACATTACTCGTAGTTATATTGAGTTATTTATCTATTCAAATCATCTTTTTCAAACTCTAACCCATGGTTAATTATGTTTTTATAGTTATTAAATAAAATCCAATTTTAATTGCGACTGTACTAGGGTGATTTGTTATTGCCATTTCGATTACGCGCTCGTCTGCACACGAGGTTTTAATACACTCCCAAGCCCATGTAATCTGGTTTTCTTGAAAAGTTAAATTATTGAGTATTACAGTTTTACCTAAGTTTTAATACGATTTTTTTATGAAAGCAATCTCGATGTTGAATCCATCATCAGTTTTAGAATACAGTGTGTGTTAGGCAAAAATGTGAATCTAATTATTGACTCAATGCATTCAAAACATTATGTATCTTATATGGATTCAAATGGTAAAAGATTTTTTCCAATCGATCGGAGTCTATTCAATAGTATTGAATCAATACAAACAATCAAATCTTTCTTCTTTATAATATTAGTATAGATATATCTTATAGTCTTTGCTTCTAATTCCGACCTATCTCGACACCAAAATAACCAATGTTGGTTCATCACTTTAGTTTTGTAAAAACCTTACAAAAACAGACATCTACTTTCGCATTCATAACATCATCATCTACCTACCTTGATGAAGTTTACTTGACTGATCTAATAAACCCAACCAAGCATACAATTTACACTTGCGACGAAACGTGGTTGGTTAGCTAACACTGCAATTGAATCTGCGAACTTGTGTGGATATCAATTATTCCAACGTTCAGCTTATTGTGGAGTTGCCCGTGCCAAAATGGCTTGCGGTGTATCACTTACCCGTGTCTGCAGGTTGGCTAAAATGAGCCTTATATTTAGTACAGCTTGGTAATTATTATGCGACTGTTGGGTAGTTATTATTTATTTTTTACCGGAAGTGGCATCAGAGTTTGTTACAGCCGTTCTTCTTAGCACTTCTTAAATTGTTAGTCTCATTGATTATACACTAGCTTTCCGC